GGGGGCGGTGGTGGTGGAGGCGGCGGTGGCAGCAGTGGCGGCGGAGGAGGTATACCTTCAGCAGCAGCAGGAGCAACAACAATCGTTGTATTGGTAGGATGCTGGCCTTCATCCCTTACTGCCATTTCGGTAACGTTCACATTGTTTAATGCAGCTGGCATGGTCTCTGGCTGAGTTGGCGTATCGACATTAGCGTCTGCCATTTCAGCAGGGATAACAGGGGAGGCCGGGCTGTCTGCGTTTGATTGCGCGGAGGGCTGATGCTGGCTGCGGTCAACATTGGTGTCAGGCAATGAGTGGTGGTCTCTTGTGTGTGGTTGGGTGGAGGACCCACGCACAAAATCAGCTTTCGGGAGTGGGTGAGCAATTGCCCAACGAACCATTCGACGAAACCAGTTCGAAAGTCGTGTGACATGAGTTGGTAGCCAGCGTTGTTGGCCACGCACATATGCAGTCCAGCCTTTTGGAGGATGGCCCCTGACAAGCATACGTCGTGTCAGGAAAGTCACTGTCGCTTTGAAGTTGGTGTTATTGATATATATATGTCCGAATCTCGTTAGTTGTCCCGTGAGCTCACCTGCAGGTTGATGAGCCGGAGCGTTGGCGGAAGCACTGGGATACCGTATGACAGGGAGCGTCCAGGTCTCGGCCTTATCAAATACGCCAATGCGAAGTGAGCGTCAGGCCGAACCAGGATTCTTGCCCCAAGAAAAAGACATGACCCATCTTGCTCAGTAGTGTCTTTCCACTCAAGACCATGCCGAGCAGGAGACGGCGGTAATGTCTTCCAGGATAGAATGTCATCAATGAATCGGTATGTGAATGCAAATGCTTGCACAGCACGCAGATCTCGCTGACGAAGACCATCGATGAATTGTGCTTCGTCCCAATAAAGCGTGAGGTTGGCAATTTCTGGTCCAGCGTTAGTGCCCATAGGGATACCGACCACCTGATGGCACAGAGTGTCATCCCTCGTATAAAGGTAAGTATTAGAGACCACGAGCCGCAGATGTTGCTCTATTTCTGACACCGAACTGGCCTTCTGCCCTGTGAGATCCGTCCCAAAGCATAATCATGTGCTTCACGAACAGCATTCAGAACATTGTTAAGAATCCTGTCGTGTGACAGGTTCGTGTACATAGTTGTAAAGTCCACTGTATGTGGTGTAGAGCCTCGAAGGGATTGTGCATTCTGCTTGAGATCCAGAATGACTTCCTCAGCACTTTGCACGATCCAGCAACGCCGTACACCACTTTCTTGATAAAGCTCATTATCCTTACAGCGCAGGGACTTGATCACACCTTGAAGGGCATAGCTAAGTGAGCGGCAGGCCATTTTGAACTTGCGAAAGGCTTATGAGGGGGTCTGTTGTTATGGGTGTGTGTGTGTGTGTGTGTGTGTGTGTGTCCATCTGATTGATTGATTGATTTTTTTTTTTTCCCCCGCTCCCCCCCACTGCCCCCTCCCAACCCCCCCAAAAAAAGTCTCTTTTTTTTGTTTTGTTTTCCGTGCGGGGGGGGTGGCCCCCGACACCTGCACCCCCCTCCCATTGTCGGTTTGCAAGGGGCCCCCCTCAAGCCCCGCAAAATCTCTCGCAAAATTGTTCGTACGGCCCGTATGAACGTCAGGGGGGGCGTTCGAACGGCTGGTTCGGGCATACGGAGACAGGCCATCCCTGTCCGAAAGCACAACACAGTGGGGGACTATGACTTTAAATAACTTGCATGCGGCATGGCGACCGATGTACAGCTCGTGATGACAGAGCAGCTGGTGGTCATGATCATGATGATGCTTCATTACATTCTTTTACCAGTTCTTATGCTTTAGGGATTCTGGTGAATGTTCTCTGACCTGAATAACTGCCCAGCCACTGTGATTCTCCATAGCAATCTCAAACCTGATCAGGTACTGCTCTCCAGCATCAAAGGCGACATTAGCTGCAGCAATGATGCGGATTGTATGGGATGACTCAAAGCTCATGGGTGTGATTTTGAGGCAAGGTCCAGCGCAATGCTGATTGGCACCAACCACCGTGGCAACTACATTATCAGGGTAGACTAACCACGTGTTTTCCAGGTGCTTCACCAATCCGGTAGCAGAAGAGCTGCTGCTGTCTGAGTTGGATCCCAAATCCAAGCCTGGTTCTTGTTTGTCTTCAGCAACGGCTTCCCAAGTGGAGTTGATCAAGTTGTTGGAAGTATACTGATAGCGACCAGTTACTTTGGGACGGATTTTACAGACATCATTTGAGCTCTCTCTTCCTCTGGCCATTTCCCGAAACATTATGACAGCATCTGTGCTATAAGGACTGCAAAGCATATTGCCTATGTATGTTACACCTCCCTCAACCGCAAGTGAAGAAATAACAGCACTAGAAGAAGATTGAGATCCTGAGGAAGACGATGCTGAAGATAAACTTTCTGAAGAAGGCTGGTCTGGGGACAGGCTCTCCCCAAAAAATCTGGTTTGCCCCTCAACAAGATACAAAATGTTCCCCTCTACGATGTTGGATTGACCACCAATAACTTGCATAGCAGGTGATCCTGAGTCGAAGATGACATTACCCTCAATCCGCATCCCTGCAGCACCTTTGGAAAATACAGCGAACCTGCAGTGAGCTAGAGTGTTTTTTATTACAACACTACCTCTTGCTTGCTCACCCATGAAGATGCATGGTGTCATGAAGGATGTCAGATGACGTTTACTCTGGCTGATTCTAGATCCGGTTGTGGGTGAGTAATTGTCTTGTGCTTCATGTGCACTGCTGCTAGCGTTGGTGGTGCCACGAAGAGCTGCGTCCAATGGTGTCGTCCAACCTTTTGTAAGGCTGTCATCATTACCAAATGACCTAATTATAATATTATGGCTGACCATCACCTCCCCACTAGCCATTACACTCCCAATCCCAAGAAGGGGCTCTTCCATTGTCAGCAACAAGAAAGTGTCCGTTATGTAGTTGTTCTCCACTTTGCTTCCCCTGGGAAGATTAGCGAGAGCAGCTCCTCCCATCTTCCAGAATATGTTGTTGCTGATTTGCAGGTTGACAGCTGTTGGACGTCCCAGCAAGCCAGCTGGAGATCCCACGAGCAGGTCTGGCCGCAAACCCACATTCTTGACTGTGCTCCAACTAACAACATTCTCATTCCCAGCAAGATCAATTCCAATCTTTCCACAATTGGACACATAAGTGCGTTCAATCATGGATTTAGCAGCCCTGAGCATAATACATGTTCCATCAATTCCCTCTATCGTGGAGTCGATAATACGGAACCCGTAGTTGTCCTCATCCTCAGAGAATGTGTTTGGCACTGTGCCAATCCCTACTGCACTGAATTTCTCCACCTGAATGCCTTGAACTGTGAAAAAACGGGTCCGAGATACAGCGATCCCCTTGTCATGGACTGTAACCTCAATGACACCTTTCTCCTCCTCTTTTCTCGCCTTTTCCTCACTTGTCGTCTTCTCCTCCTGCATTGTGTAAATAGTCGACGACTCTGTTGCTTGCACACTGTCACGGTCACGCAAGACGTAAAGCATGGATGTGTAGGGATTGAAGGCCCACTCTCCTGGTTCATTTAGTTCGCCTTTGACCCCTTGAATGAAAAATCCCCCTCCAACACCCCCCTCGGCACACATCCGAGCAAGAGGCAATGGCCCTTCAATGTCAGTTACAGTCACGTATACTCCCTGGGCAGAGCCATACCCAGAGCCAGAGCCAAATTCATTGCCATTCTTGGAATCCATACTTGATGGCCCAGTGCTACTCATAGTTGAGTATTGTGAGGGATCCGATCCCGGAGTCATGGTGACATTCTTCACCAGTCCACGACTGTAGGTTGTGGGTGAGCTCCTGAATATGAACTGTGCACCACTCCAGTAACTGCCCCCGTCACTGACTGCGTGTGTCGCAGCAGCAGCCCTCGTAAACATGGAATCGTGGACAACGAAGTTGAGCTGGTAGACATCACCATGGCAGCTAGAGAAATGCAAGAAACTCTCACCAAGCCATGGATAGGCCTGATTATCACCAGACAACTTCATCATTGCCATTGATATATTCACAGAGACATCTGGGAACCGTGTCATAGGTTGGACCTGCTGGTCCATGTACAGTGTTTGAGCCACACGCGGTTTCGGTTTCTTAATCTCCTGTTTATTACCAAGAGCACTTTGAAGGGATACTTCCAAGACCTCTTTCCAGTCCTCTCCTGTTTCTGTAATAGTTCCAACTGCTGCTTCCGCTTCTGCGTCAGGTAGAGATGCTGTGACAGCATCATGACTAGCTGCACTGACAACCACTGCACCCACAATCCTCGGGAGCGGCAGGTAAAGATTCCCATAGTTGCTGATGGTGATATTCTCTAGGACGTCCCTCCGTGAGGTCAAGTCAAGTGTGCCCCTGTACACCCCACCGCGTTGCAGTAAAATTGTATCACCTGAACCCAGAGCTCTGCTCACCTCATTGAACAACTCGCTCACTCGCCTTAAGGACTTCCACGGAGTCCTGCTATCCTGTGCCTCTTGCACAGTGTGTGAATCACTTCCCTCTAACTGGGACACATAGAAAGTGCGCCCAGACCATTGCGATAATGACGCAGATACTGTTGCTCCGGACAGAAAAGGGCTCAACAACAGCAGATAGAATGGAAATCCAATTTGACAGGAGGTCAAAAGAAGTAGGACACATGACGTACGAATGCATCGTGCAAATGACGTCAACAGAAAGCTTACGAAAGAGAACCGGGTGAATAAGCCCTGTTCATATTGCAGCGAGTCCGCGTTGTGCTTAAAGAAAATAATGGCAGGAGGCATAGCTTAATGGCAGGAGGCATAGCTTAATTAAACCTTCCTAGACCTCACTTGCAGACAGTGTGATGCAGGAAGCTTCCAACATGGAGTTCAGCCCCATTTATACGAATGTAAATCAGCTAGTGTCTGTCAAAAGTAGAAATCATCACTGATTTCAACATCTGGAGAAACGCACGCCCACAAATGTCAGAATCGCATACTCGCTCCTGTCCTCTGCTCTACTTCTTTCCGTTAGCAGTCTCTTCCCTACTCGATAACCTGCTGTGTGCAGAATCCTTTCCAAGTTCTCTGCACGGCGAGGAGGAGAAACCAGACAGGCAGTGAAACAGTTTTCAAGAGAACCAGGGCACAATGCAAAAGCGTTTGGGCCAAAAACAATTGAATATCAAGAAGATTGGCCTCAAGCATCAACGTATCCATGATCTAAAACACTATCAGCCTATCAGGGCATATATGCACGTAAGATAATATCCATTCCGTACCCCAGTATACTCCCCTTGCTCTGCTTTTCCCATGTTTCCTGGCTTGTCCAGAATCTTCTATCACATCCTCTCCTGTCCACCCATCTTCTCCTGACCTCTACCAACCTGCTACCAAAGTACATCTACAATCATACTGCAGCGTGTTTGCACCACATCTGCCTCCTTGTCAAGCCCTCTGCACAGTGAAAATGAAAAACCAGGCAAGCCGTGTTACAGCTTTCAAGAGAACCAGGGCTCAGAGTGAAACAGGTCGGACCAAAACTTGACTTTTAAAATGAATGGATATTGCAAACTAGTCTCACATCTTACTCAAGTCCATGGTAAAAAAGACTAGCAGCTCAGATGTGGATGGATCCGTGTCCCACTGGATACGGGGATGCTGGGATCACTTGGTGGAATGTTTTACCAGGTGGAAGAAGCTGTTGAACACAGGAGAAAGAGTTTTATACAGCAAACAGGGCCACTGTTGAAGAAAAATGGGCTAGCCTTATGTTGGCAAAATGAGAATTCATGGCATCACTATGCTCGCCAATAAAAGGATGGCTACATCAAATGGAGGCAGAATTCACCTAGTTATTACCATGTTGGCATGATGTTGCGAAGTTGCAAGGATTCAGGGCCCTCAGCATGCTGAAAAAGGCCTGTGCCCACTCTAAGTGAAGGCGAGCCCACAGAAATTTGTCGCGGCCTGAGATGAGGCCGATATGAGCAAAAAGGGGCCTGTGGGTTGGTTCCTGCACACAGCATCTTCAACCAAGTGGTGGCCCAGTCGGTTGAAGATGCTGAGGCCCAGGTCACTTACAGTTGAGCCCCAGGCACATTCTGGAAGGGCCCTGGGCGCAGCTACTGGGCCAGAGGCCGCCCAGTACAGGCCTGCCTCGCCCAGCTAGCAGGAACAAAAGGAAGTGAGGCTGCCTCACTTCACACATTCTGGCTGGCTGGACAGTGGCAGTGCTGCTGGAGCACTCACTTACGAGAGGCAGGCTAGAGGGAAGAGGGCACTGGTGGACTGCTAGCGTGCAGCAGGTAGAGCGCAGCAGGTAGAGCGCAGCAGCCATAGCCAGGCTGCCGGCGCCATCCTTGGGCGTAGTGACTGTGCAGAAGACAGGGAGAGGGGGTGATGTATGAGGCGCTTACCTGGTGGTGAAGGAGCTGGCCGTTTCACTCGGAGACTGATGCAGCTAGGAGTCTTCATGGAAGACCTGTTGCAGCTAGAGTTCTTCATGGAAGACCTGTTGCAACTACGAGTCTAGGTCGATAGGAGCTCTCTGGGCGCCGAGCACCAGCACAGGAGAGCGACATTGTTGACAATGGTGTTGGAGGCGAGAGGAGGGCTTTCATTGTCATGTGACTTCAATGCTTTGCTCGTACTTATTTGGTGTAATCTCGTGGTGCAATCTGCTTTCAGTTTGTGCTCAAAGTTATCTGGATCTCTATGGAGCGTTGCAATCTGGTTTATTGTCATTCGCACTGGTCATTTCCTTGCAATTTGGCATCAGAGCTGGTTCTTAGGCTTACTCCTTCGGCTCCAGCGCTATCTGTTTCTTTGGTCCACGCGGTGTTGGTTCCCGTGCCGTGTGAGTACGATCATGCTGCGTGGAAGATTGGTCTGTCCCTGGGTAGAGAGGGATGCGGCTGGAGGCTTCGTGGAAAATAATATTGGGTGAACGATCGATGATGTGAGTGAGATGAGGGGGCATTAGCAACGGAGGCACTTGCATTGTATTGGCAGTGATTCCAATGCTGCAACTGGTCAATGAAATGCAGAGTCTTCACAGCTGGTGAGAAATCTGTGGTTGGGGGCAGCTTTGGGTATGTTGTCTCTGACCTTATCTACCGTCCTTTATTGTTTTTTTCCCGTGATGAAGTGAGTCTGTGCTTGAGAGTCCTCTCGTGGTTAGGAGTGAGAGAGCGGTCTACCTTGAGAGCTGACATTCTTTGGGCACAATCTGGTGGGAGAAGGGTGGTGCCTGTGAAGTACCCTAGGAGGACGAAGCACAGATCATGACAAAAGTCAACCCATGCGAGTAGAGCAAGCATGCATGCGATGAAAGTCCTTTTCGCTCTTGATGCGCTGTAGAAGTAGCTGTGATCTGGCCAGTTCTATTGGGGACAGACGTGTACCGGACCATCTTTAAAGATACTCTGGCAAGGAATCCGAGTCGTACTACGTGCGACCTTAAAAAAAAGTGTGGTCAGGGCTGGCCAATCATTGTCTGCTTGGGCACAGGGGTGGGCCGTTTTCAATGTAAGACACTGCTGCTTTTGGGGGGTCAAGATGGAGGTCACCGATCCCCTTGCATTGACTTCTGGTGGGACGATAAAAATGGTCTCCGTTAAGACCCGTATCTAAAGGGTCAGGTTCTATTTTAGATCCAGACTCCACAGACAACCAACAGGAAACTCGGAAGAAAGTCTAAGGCTCTGAAAAAGATAACCATTATTTTTCTAGGTAACTTTTACTGTTGTAGTACAGATCCAGTATCCCCGTCATTTGTTCGTTGAGTTTGGTTTAGGAAAGTAAGTATGTGGGAGACCCGGGTTAGAATCCTAGCAACGGTAGAACCGACCAAGGGAGACGGTGCAATTCTTAACCACGCCTCAATCCAAGGACTCGGATTAGGATATCCACTCATAAAAATGTATCTTTTTCTTGGAAGCGATATGGTCTTTTCTTTCAGAAGAAAATAACAGTGTATGAATGTTTTGTGTTGTTTTAGATGTTCAGTGACAATATTGATCAGTTATTCGTTAATTAATTCAAATATGGGAAACGATCTAAGGGGTATTGCATGAGGAATACTTTCATTGACGTCCCTCGCGACGAGAACGTCGGTAATGGGGTTCAAAAAAACTGTTGGAGCAAACACCCTTACAAGGATATTTGCTTGTATTTTTACAAGGCGCAAAAGGTCTTGATGCTAAGGAGGTGTTGATAGGCTAACCTTCTTTGTGTGACGCGCACCTTGATCATTGGGGTTGAGGCGTGTGTCGTATGGGTAATTATATTTGATTAGTATGTGCGCACGTTATCGCAATCACGCTACGATGGTTAAGATGATTGATAATACCCTCCGACCAAGGAGGTCGATGGGTCCCTCGAAGTAAGTAACCCGGACCAGACAAGGTCGACGACATGCACGTTGAACGGGTTGGCATTTTGGTTCGCCGAAAGTACGGGTACGGGTCAAAATTATTGTAGGTTTGGCCTTACGGCTGCGGCAGTTAAAAGAGTTGGTTGTCAAGTCGGACAAGTCGGGGCACGCATGTAAGACTAAGGGTTAGAACACTAACTTGTCGATATCCGGGTGTGGGCTAAATTAATAAAGGCCTCGACTGTACAACTAAGGCAATCAAAAGGTATATAGGACCCGATAAAAGAGAATTACTACAGGTGGCCTGACCATATTTAAATTCGGTGATGGTAGGGTTGGAACCCCAAATTCTGACATTGAAAGGGATAGTTGGACTTAGCTCCTTACAAAAAAGACGTTAGTGCAGCAGTCATACAAATTTGAACCTCACACCTGCAACATGAGAGTAAGCATAGTAACCTACTGGTCTAGCTCCTAGTTTAGAAGTCAAAGGAGCAACCCAGATACTAATCGTGATCAGTAGCGAATGTGGTGAGGAATGTGTGAGGGGAGATGCCCCATCGCCAAGTTGAGTATGTTGGCTACGCGTTCTGAACCCGTGACCTTATTAGTAAGTCAATTGTAAATCCTATAAAAGTTAGCTTTTTTTAAACTTCTTGAAAACCTAGGTGCATGAAAGGGGTTTCTTTTTTATTTTTTCAAAATTCACAGTCCATTAATATTTCAACTTGTGAGGCTGCTCCAGGATCAGTGCGTAAAAGTTGGCTCTTCAGGGTAGTTAGTAGTAAGATTCGTTTCTTTTATATATCTAGTTTTGTTTTGTTTTTTCATTTCGATCTAACCCAGGAGCTGCATTCGATAGTTTAATTTCAATAAATCTACCCCGGAATATGGGGCAAATTCATTTGAAGGAAAATGCAGTGAAAGTCACGCTGGGAACAATATTATCTCAAAGTCATTAGCTTTACGTGGATCATGACCACGAAATCAGAAGCAAGGTAGAGTGAGCGCGGAGCTGAGATGGAAGCAAGAGACGTTGTGGGTTAGAAGGGAGATCGCAGCTCATGGAGTTGGAAGAAGGGGACGAGAAACCAGCATGGAGGAAGGAGACATATATGTAGCGATGAAGAAAGATGTGCAAAGAAAGAAGAAAACCACGGCGCAGAGGAAAAAAAGGAGATTGTACGAGTGGAGGAAGAAGAGGATAGTGGAGGGAAAGACAGGAGGAAAGGAATTATGAGAGAGAGAGAGAGAGAGAGAGAGAGAGAGAGAGAGAGAGAGAGAGAGAGAGAGAGAGAGAGAGAGAGAGACGCTACTCTAAGATCCACTATGCAAGTCTACTAGTGTTCTAAGACACTCTACTACTACTCTACTCTATGCTACGTCACTCTACTGCGTTGCTCCCCCCACTTCGAGTGAGTGAGCATGAGCAATTGAGTAATTGTGGAATTGAGAGAGGAGCGCGAGTCGGGAAGGAAGAGCGCTTGTGGAGAAGGAGAAGAGTGTGTGGAAGGAGGATAGAGGAAATTTGTAAGGGAAGGTAACAAGGCGCAGGAGAGATGGTGATCAACGCAAGAAAAGACGAGCACGCAGTTGAACAAGCGCGAGGCAGAAAAGACAGGCGTGCACCGGAGGGAAACGAAATAAGGGGGTCACAAGGGAGATCCACGCAGTGAGAAAAAACAAACGGACTCGTGGTCCATGCGAACACAAAAGCAAATGTAGAGAGTGACTGAGAACGAGGCAATCGATGTGCGAGACGGTAGAAGATGATAGCATGGAGATAGAGGCGGCGCATATTGAGGAAAGAAGGCGTGCATGTGGAAAAACAAAACAGGACGGACGCACGTGCAGGAGAAGGTAGAGCGTTGAGGAAGAGCAAGACACTCGCGTGGGAGAAACAAACAATCGAGTAGAGATGATAGAATCACAAGAGGGATGCAAGCGCAGGTGGAGGAACAAGCAAGCGAGCGAATGGAAGAAACAAGCACGCACATAACTGTGAGTAACAAGGCACGTACGTAGTGAGGACAGAGGTAGGTCATTCAACAAGAGTCTTCAAGCAGCATACGACAAGTGACACGCGGACTTGGTGCAGGTGTGAGTTAGATAGGGGCATCTAGTCGTAAGGTTGGCATTTCTAGGAGTTTTGTTGATCGGTGATTGGCGGCGAAAGACAGGTTTCATGATCATGGTACTCCAATGCTTGCTTGTTCCATATTGGTGTGATCTCGCTTCTCCCTCCCTTCAATCTCGGCTCATTTATGTCCAGCCTTCTGTAAGATGTTCCGAGTCGGTCCATTATTGCTTCAATGGCTTTTTTTCTGGTTACCCGTATCTGGCCTCAATTATTGCTAGGTACAGTGCAAGAAGAGATAGGGGCTCCCTAGGAAGGAAAGACGAATGAGCTCAGTTAAAGGAAAGAAAGAGGCGCGTAAGAAAAGAGAGCACACTCACAGCGGTAGGAGTAGAAAGTAGAGGTAGAGAAGATGAACGAGAATAAGGAAGAGGGGTGAATAATGTGAGGAAAGAGAATGTGAGCAAACGTGGTGGAGATGTTGGGTGAATGCCAGAAGGAAAGATGGCGGGTGCAGACGAAGAAGAAGACACACAAACATATCTCAATCGGGAAGGTGTGTGTGCGTGGGTTAGAAAGAGAGAGGGAGAGGCAACGTAAAACGAGCATGTACCTGGCATTGCAAGAACAAGTTCGTTCAGAGTCTTCCAACAGAAGCCGCGTACTTGGTATCAACGAAATTCGATTCCTTCATCGGAATGTTCAAAGCGGCATTGGACAGATGACAATTGGAGCGATTGATGGTGTGTAGATAGGCTAAATGTATGGAAGCTAGGAAGCATAGAGAACCCTCAGGACAACAATAGGGGAGGGCTGAATTATCATAGCATTATCATATGACTTCAATATTTTGTTCATACTTATTTGGTATAATCCAGCTCTATATTATGTTTTTAATTCGAACTCAACGATATCTAGTCTTGGGTGCTTTGTTGCAATTTTGGTTTATTACTTTGATGTTGTTATTAACTGTGTTTTTATCTGGTCGAGATCATAGCCAAATACGACACATCGTAGAAGTTGAAAAGCAAAAGTAGACAAGTCAGGGAGGAAGTAAGAAGGGGGAAAAGAAGAAGAGGGAAAATGATGAACGGGAAGTTGAAAACGAAAGAGAAGCAAGGCAAGAGGTGGAGAAAACCGTGAGAGAAAAAGAAGGGGAGAAAGTTTACCTGGTGCTGTCCTTGGCCATGCATGCCGAGAACGTTCGAGCGAGCATAATGGCTGACACTTCATTCTTTCAATGTGGTCGTAATCATGACTAGATTCATTGCAGCTGGGATCTTTTTCCTCGTAGCACTCTTCGTGGAGATGTTGTCTCCTACAGTCGTGGTCTTCTCCTTCGCTGGCAATTTTGGGGAGATGTTGCGAGCGAATGGGAGATCGGAGAAGAGGGGGAAGAGTCGAGCAGATTAGTGGAAGATGAAGAAGTGGTCAGTATGATGATGCACCTACCTAGCAGCGCTGTACTCCCCCGAACATGATCCATCCTTCTCGTAACAGTATTAGATGGAAAGGCAACTTGCATGCATAGTTTTTTTTTTTTTTTTTATCATCATAGTTGTTGTAATTGTTGTACCATCAATAGTATTATTACCTAGTAGGCTACCAGCCGAGGGGGGGGGGGGGGGGGGGAAAAAAAAAAAACTGAAAATTTTTAAAAAAGAAACTGTTATGGCAAAAAATAAATTGAACAACTTTTTTTTCTTTCCTTTTTTAACAAGAAAAGGATACTTCTTATTACTTGGTCCAAAATACAGGGCCGGGGACTCCACAATTCAACCCGGTAGAACTCTGACAGCATCAGTCAGCTTAGCTTAATCTTCAGCGGGGGAACAAAATAAACTAGGCACAGCTCCGGTCCCTCGTGGACCTCTGGCCTGAAGGCTCCTCTCTGAGAATAATAAAATAGCCCTCACGGCCAACAGAGCCCAACAAACCAGAAAAGAAAAATGAGGTAAGCAAACCACCTAAGTCCGCCTAGCAATCCTAGACTGCCGAAGGCCCGTCCCGTCCAGGAGGACCTGCATCCTAGATAAAATACCACAGGGTAGTGAACCTAACAATCCATAAAATGTAACTCCTACTAACCTGTACTTCTAGTCACTATTTCTCCTCTACTCTTTTGTGTTCTACTACTCTATTACTCAGCTGGTCTACTGTTCCCCCTATCTCGGTGGGAAGAAAACAACACTCCCTCCTCCTCAGTCCCTCTGCCTGTCTCCTGCGACCCACCGAAAACCCACATCCGAGTGTTCAGGATGGTACTACTTTATGTACTAATCTCTTAAAAAACACTGATCTAAGACCAATCTTCCATCCTCTATCTTCCCCAACTTCTCGTTCACGCACCATGCTTCTCGAAACCATTTCAGGCCATTTCAGGCCTGGTTCTCGATTATTCGTTTTGCCCACTTTTCTCCTCCAATCCGCCATCATTGACCTTCTCAACTGTTGCGTGAAGGTTCTTCGGAGTTGTTTGTTTGTCCATTCCTTGTTTCGAAACACCCTGTCATTCTTCTCTAGCCATTTGCAGCAAATCCCGCTGCTCTCACATTCTGTGTTACATAGCCCCAGCCCTTTGAGATACTGTATCCTTCTTGAACTCCCCCAGCAGACACCACTCCTTTAATCATGAGAAACCTCCATCCGTGCATCTTTCCCAGTGTTTCGACCACCATGCCCAAACCCTACCTGACGCCGGGCAGTCCCACCACAGATGAACTCTGGATTCGAACGCCCATTCACATCTCCCACATTTCAAGTCTAGGCTCATCCCATGTGCAGCCAGCCATACCGCTGAAGGTGTGGCTACCAGCGATACTAACCAGAGGGTGGATGCCTGATGCTGATTTGGAATCAGCTTCAATTGTTTCCAGCATTTCTTGAGGGACTTGCCTATCTCTTCTGGTTCCATTTGTAACAGTTGTGCCCATTTGGATCTTGCCACTACTTCTGGGCGCTTGACAGGGATGATGCTCCTGTACCCAATCCGCTGTGTATAATTGAACAGACCAACATTCTCTCCTCTTCTGCCCATGGCCCTCCACCCCCACATTTTTGGGTCCAGTTTTAACTGAGAAACTGATTTACCATTTGCCACCAGCACCAATGTCTGACTAACCCCTTCGTGTTTGGTCGTCACCACTCTGGCCTGTGTAAGAGAAGAACCTAGTCTGGGTTGACTCTCTGTATCTGACAGGGACAGCTTGCCTGATGCAGAGAAACTTCATTTTTGGAACACTCTTTTTCCGTCCAACTGAGTTACCTATAGTTCCCACAGGTTGGCCCCTTCGGCTTCTTGCTGGATATACCATGTGTCGGACGGGTATCACTGGTCGATCTAAGTCTAGTCTCCCTTGTTGTGACAACTGGATGTTGGTATTCTCCCAATGATTGTTTCCGTCATCTAGATTTGTCACAACTGCTGCCCCTTGCGTGCGAGAGGTTAAGATGTCTCTGTAATACATGGCTGCGTAGTTGCATAAGTTGGTGAGTTCTTTTGTTGATGATGCCCTGTTGTCAAAGGGGTGTTGAAGCTCTGTCATCGGTATTGACGATCTGCTTGGTAGTAGCTTATGGAAAGCCTCTTTAGTCATCCGGTCATAAACTGCCACTCCTTTTACTTTTAGGCGTTCTACCCAAATCTCCGACTTTTTTACTTGGGTTTTATCCCAGTCCTTCAGCAATCGCACCCGTTCATGTCCCCACACCACTCTTGATATCGGGTGTTCTTCCATTCTTCCCTCAGCATATTCAACCTTCCTCTTTACTGCAGACTCCTGTTTCTTCTTGTCAAATGCTAGGATTCTAGAGAACACGTTTCATAAGTTGGAGAAGATTGTCGAGCCCGTATCCCACCATGCTGTCAATGAACCGTACAAGCTCTTTGCTGCTTGCCAACTCCTCCAGAATCGTTCCATCCATGCTTTTAATCCCGGATCCTCCAGGTTCTGAACATTAAATCTGAAATACCCTTTTCCTCTCTTAGCTGAGCCTGTTGACAGTCCTAATGTTGCATAACGTGAAGGTGCAGACCAGAACAAGAACCGTCCTCTCTCACAAAGTACAAGATAGCATAGCGGAAGACTTAGATACCAATGATCCGAACAATCAAT